GCATGTCTAGTGTTATAACATGGCAGCACCGCTGATAGAAAGCATGACAAATTACACGGTGTAAGTCACACGCTCTTTGTTAAAGGTATGAGCATGACATTCAGTGAAATCCATTACACAACCTTTTATCTGTCCCTGGCAGTGCTCTGTTTGCTAGACAAAAGAGGAAGATAATTGGCTGTTGGTGTATTAATTCACTGTCTTAGTTGTAAATCTCTTGTGCTGATAACCTTGAGCCATTATGGGTTTTTCTGTAAGAGAAACGGTTTTAAGTATTTGGACCTGAGAGGAACTTAATCTTTAAAGGTCCCATGTCATGGCCATTTCTACTGATCATAATTCCATTGTTGAGGTCTACTAGAATAGATTTATATTGTGCAATTTTCACATTGGTTTCTCATACAGCATCTATGTATAGTATGTGTATTCACTCTCTGTCCTAAACGGCTTGTTGGAGCTCCTGTCCCCCCCCTCCCTATGAGCCCAGTGGCCGTCTGCGAGACAGCGAGACACAGCGAAACCCAGCCCGAACACACACACACCCGCAGCCTGGCTGGGAGTTTGTGTGTGTGCTCACACACCGACTCACAGTCTCGCCACGTCCCGCCGTCTCAAGGAGGAGAAATTGATTGAGTCTGTGTGTGTAACCTAACGGCTCTGCGGACGTAACGTAACGGCTCCGCGGACATAACGTAACGGCTCCACGGGACCAATGGGTCCATTTGGGTATGGGCACGTCACTGTACCCAGGAAGAAAACAATGGAAAAAGAGTTCTGGGGCAGCATAGACAGGTATTTTCTGTGTTAGAATTGTACTCGCTACAGGGTGTACTTTGAGAGTTTGTGACTTTGCAGACCGTTTACATGCATAAAAACCTTCATAACACACAAGGGGACGGGTAATAACCGGAAAAGCATGACATGGGACCTTTAAAGCAATAGTTCAACATTACAGAAATATGCTTATTTGCTTTCTTGCCGAGACTTAGACTAGAATGACGATACCGCTCCACGAATGTGTCCAATCAGAATGGAGCTATGGTCAGGAGTCATTTAGCTTAGCTGTCCTCATGTCATTTCTTAATTGTGTCCTCCAGGCAAAGCGAGTTGAGTATCCCTGATCTACCCTAAGATGGATAGCCTAGCTTTGCATTAAGGCTGGATTCAATTGAAAAACGGCTAGCCTGACTCTTAAACATACACCTGCTAGCATCTTTAAAGCTCACTTCATTCACTTAAATTGTAGTGCTCGTTTCATGCTGTTACAACAACCAATTCTCTTCTCCCAGCCGACATCTGTGCAGCACCTTCTCCATTTTCTTGGCAATCCCCGAATGATTACTTCAATTGAGCTTGAGACTATCAGATTAGCTTTGTTCTGCCTGTTTCCAGTCTCGAGCTCCGCTCTCACACAGACAAGGAGGTGATATTGATCTTCTCACCTGAGATTGAATATCGACAATACATAACATATTAAACAAGATGTTGAACTATTGCTTCAATGCTGGTAGCTTTTGCAGGCAGGAGGAGCTCCATCTAAAATGTTAACATATTTGGCTAATATACGTCTCAAGATTGTGATACGTCACACTGAGCCAGAATGAAAGTTAGGAAGAGGATATCAAGCTAAGGTTTGGGTGGGGGTGGTGAAGTTCAAACAGTTGGAGATGTTTGATAATACACAGAGGGAACATTGGAGGAGGATAAAAGGGGGTTAATGATGAGAAGCAATAAAGTGAAATGTTCAATAAATCGATACTCAAATCTATACCTGAGAAAGAGGGGAGTTCCCTCAAGTCCATCAGACTCAATAAACAGTCTGTCAAAGTGAAAGCTAATCCCTTCTGCATTAAAATCTTTTGTGTCATATCTCAGGGGATTAAGTTTAAAATCCACTCATGAGTATTTACAGCAGCATACTGCACAAACATGAAATACTTCAATACAATCTGGTCTGGATTTGCCCTCCCACTGAGCACTCATGCATATCTGCTAAAAATTAGTTCTGACATGTGTGAGGGAGGCGGAGAAGACGGGGGATTTGGGAGGTTAGGCTGAGTGGAAAACATCTTCATCGCCTACAAAAGCAGAAGGAAACATGGCGTAGGACTTTAAAGATTTATGTAATGATGCTGTTAAATCTCAGTTCATTAATAGTTTCCCCTTTAATCATTTGTTTCTGATCTGAGCAGCAAAATCTTCACACTCCACAATAGGCACACTCTCATAAATAAGGTAAACACGTTAATATACGTGCTGATGATGAAGAAAAATTGAATTCAGCTCTCCTCATTTGCCCATTAAGCCCAGGAGCATCTTCAAAGACCCGAGTTAAAAGGGGACATGAGGTATGACAGTGAAGGCTGCATCTCCATCTGTGCATTTTTCTGATCGTGTTGCTTCAGGTCCGCAGCAGAGGAACAAACCGCCAGCAGTGTGAGGATGCGACCCGCTGACACAGCAATCTCTTTGATGAGGGAGGGGCGGCAATGACAGAATCCATTTTTGCTTCATCATGGAGGCCAACTCAGTCAGCTTTCAGAGGAGGAAAGAATCCACATGAGGCACATAGAGAGAGCAGGGCTGTGTTATATGGCTTGTCTGGGTCAGTGGACATTATCAGGGCTTTCTGGTAAACTCAGACCAAAATCTGACTGCTGGATGTTAGGTTCTCGGACGAGATGGTTTTCCCAGCTCACACATAATTGAACATTTTCCACATACACCATTTCAGTAAAAGCTGAGGCAGCTAACCCCTCTTTATGGATCCCTTATACCTGGTGCATTAAGCCGCAGGTGACTGAACACAGAAGCAATTTTCATTACAGAAGGATAGAAGGGTTTTCTGTATTGTAGAGGTTAGCCAGTCATTCTTATTGATGCTACTCACGAGAACTCAGGTGCAGAAGTAGCACGATGTACAAAATTGAATCTCGTGCTCTTTATTTAATTTGATGCAACCACGCACTTCATTCCTAACCACCCATCAGGCTTTGTGGAGGCACTCCTGGGTACTACTCAGTGCAAATGTAGTGTGGTTGAAACACAAAGCAGTTACATCTCTGGAGAAAATGAATCCCTAGCAGGAAATAAATGATATTGTGTACAGCTACAGTGTCTCAGACAGCAGGGGAGCCAGAGCTGTTTCTGAAAAGGAAAGAGTAGTTTTGTAATTTTAACAGCAAAACCAAATCTGGGTAGATAATACAAGATTTGTCAAAATAATTTTGCAGGCAGAGTGGAACTCCTAGAAGACTTCGTTTTGAGACTGATTCAGGGTTTGATCACGTTGGTGTGTACGATGTTAAGATCGCTTTTGTCTGTTCAGCTTGTTATCTGAGTATTTTCTGTTCAGGGCCTCATTTACAAATGATTCTAAACTTAACATCTACAGTCAAATCCAAACTCTTCATCCCGTCACCATGTTCACAAGTTGATAGAAGCACTGCTGTTTCAACCAATCAACAAGGATTCATTTATATAAGACCTGGAACATTAGTACCAACTTCTTCTATCTGCCATTCTACGGATGATTTATAAATCAATTATTTATAGTGTAAATAAGTGGTTCCCAAATCTAACCCTAAACATAGGAGCTCAAATACCCCTTCATTAAAAGCACCTGTCATTTTCTAAAATTGTTTAATGACATTTTCTCTAACGTCATCTTAGTTCAAACGAAAATCACATAAAAGGGGATGTTTTTAGATATCCTTTTCATACAAGGCATATTAGTTCTTAAATTGTTAATGTATTCTGGTTGAGTCTTAATGTAAAGTTTGTATTCATGTAACCACTTTGAATAAAGGGAGCTGAATTACTTTTCAAAAGGTTAGTTCAGATGAATCGAAGTCAAACAATACCACAAACAAACCAATCGATTAAGGCAGCAGTAGAACAGCAACTGATGTTTGATGCAAGGGTACTTTTTTTGTTTCAATGGAGTCTGGTGGCTTTGAAAAGGGCATAAATAATGGCTTCAGTTCCTCGCCGGAAAGGGCTATCTGATATTTACTTAAACTGATACACTCTTACATTTTGCTGCTGCCCCCTTCCACAGCAGTATATTGCTTTACTTCTGTTGTGGTACTCCTGTCTGTTTTTCCAATATGGCTCCAACCTTCATCTCCTGTTGATATTACACTGACACTGGTTAAGTGCCTCATACAACCCTCATTTTAAAATCCAAACTATCCCTTAAAAGTGGAAATGTCATTGATATAATTTTCCTTTTTATAACATTATTGAGTGGATTTTTCTTTGCTAATGCTCTTAAACAGGAATAACAACATCATACAGATTAATAAATGAACATAATTGGCATGGCAGTATAAAAAAAACATTAATACAGATAACGAAGAATCCGGTCATGTTGTTTTCAAAACAACAGTTGAAGTAATCTCTTTATTTGATCTTTTGAATGTGCTCAAAGCAGAGAAGTAAACACTTGCTCTTTTAGAAAATAGACAGGATGGTGTAACATGAAAACTTTTCAAAGCTTTGTTCAATATACAAACAATACATTTTTATCATATTGATACATTTGTGATTATGAGGAGCCACACAATAATACTGTACTGTTTCAATTATTTACAAGCAAGGCATAAAAGCATCAGCCCTTCAGGCTACAAATGTAAAGATGAAATACTGACCGTATATGTCACTTTAATATCTTGTATAATATTATTAATGTGTATGTGTGTGTGCGCAGCAGACGTTAGAAAAGAGTGATAAGATGTTTGGTTTTTACTGTGGCTAAGTGCTTTTTGTGGCTGCAAGGGCAGAAAACAGGATGGTGGAGAATAGAGACACACACAGAAACAGGTTATACACACACGCACACACACACACACACACACTCACGCACACACACACACACACACGCACACATACACACACACACACACACACACACACACACACACACACACACACACACACACACACACACACACACAATCAAAAACTGGCAGTAGGAATACGATGCGATACACTCTCATGCTCACTTCATCACCACAGAGTTTCACTGTTATACACATTTTCCTATCTTTCTCTTCCACACACACACACACACACACACGCACACACACACGCACACGCACATGCACACATACACACAAAGTGAAAGCTTCAGTAGGTGCCCATGTGGCTCAGCAGTACCTCTGTTTTCTATCTTTCTTCTCAGAGGGGAGTAGAAGATGTATACTTATGCCAGGGAGAGGTATTTGCCTGTGATTCCACTCAACTGTACATGCCACTGTATCCAGATTGAATCCCAACCTCATGTTACAACACACGTGCTGATAACAGTTTCAACTGCAGCTCCCTGGTCAGACCCTTTTGAGCTCCAAACACACTAAAGCAGATATGACTTTTTTTTTGGAGGATTACTTTTTCTTTCTTTTTTTTGTGAAACTGTTTTGCTACTGAAACAGTAAGCAAGGAGCCCCTTCGTCCCATTGGTCCTCATGTTGACAGTGCGACGTAATACAAAGGAAAAGAGAAACAGAGTGACGTGACAGTGAGACAGAAGATAGATGCCACTATCAGAACGTCATAAGCAACGGTTGTCAAGGTTGCAAAGATTTTCATGGCCTTCGCATTATATTCAGAGAATGAGGTCACATTTAAAATCAAGTGTCTTTGTAAACCCATCGCCATCCAGTGCGGATCATCCAAGTGCAGCCACTGAGGTGTGCATGCATCACAGTTACTGTTATGAGTCCGTTTTTGTATGACAATGAGGAGAGAAAAAGTCAATGGGAGAATGGGGAAATGAGCCGAAAGCCCATCCTACAGCAGCCTGAATGGCGTTGAATTAAAGCCGCCTCAGTGAGTAAGAGCTTACTCTAATATGTTAATACCTTTTCGAACCCCTTAGTTAAATCGATCCTTCATTTCTAGCAGCAATCCCTGAAAGTAAAGGTGTTTAAGCCCCCCACTCCCTTCAGGCCAGCACGTTATCATACAGCTCAGAACAGTTTGAATGGATCTGCAGGGTAACGTTTCTATTACAGCCCCATACAGAGAGCATTCAGAAAGAGCGTTTCCAGGACTTACAGAGGATCTTCTGGAAGGCTCTGCGGAAATCCTGGTTGAAGATGGTGTAGATAACCGGGTTTAGCGAACTGTTACAGTAGCCAATCCAGAAAAAGAACTTGAACAGCGTCTCGGGGATCTCACATGGCTCCCGGCAGATCCCGTACAGGCTGTAAGAGAAGAAGAACGGGAACCAGCACAAGACGAAAACGCCCATGACGACGGCAAGGACGAAAGTGAATCGCTTTTCTCTAGCGGCAGAGGCTTTATTGCGGTTGACGGTGCTCCGGCGTTTGCGGCGAGATGAGAAAAGCTCCATGGATTTGGAGCTGGAGCGCGACTTCCTGCTGGAGTATTTGGAGGCGGAGCTGCTTTTGCGGCTGGACTTCCTGTCCTTTCTTTCATCACGTTGATGTTTGGAGGAATTGGTACCTTTCTTAGGTTTCTCGTCCGACGAGCTGCTGTCTTCGTAGTCGTCATCGTGGTCCGTTGGCGGATGTTTGGGCTCATTCGGTAGAGGGGATCCGACTGCATGCTCTTTGCAGTGTCCATTCTCACGTTCTTGGTCCTTTATGCTTTCCCTGTTGGACTTTACTGACCCGCCTCTTCCTGATTCGGCTTGGTCCATTCCATTCTCGAGCGGGGAGTCCACATCTCTCTTCTTCTCCGACATCGTTCTGGTCCTGTTCTTTGCCACTTGGTATATCCGAATATAGACAAGGATCATGATGACACAGGGGGCGAAAAATGATCCGATACTGGAGTAGAGGATGTACCAGGTCTCATCGTTCAGGATACACGTGGGACTGGCCTCATTGCTGCTCCTGTCCATTGATATCAGTGGTGGGAAGGAGATGACAGCTGAAATCAACCACACCACCACAATCATGCCTTTAACTCTTTTAGGTGTTCTCTTTAAGTTGTACTCTAATGCCTGTGTCACTGACCAGTACCTGTCCAAACTGATGGCACACAGGTGAACAATTGAAGAGGTGCAGAATAAAACGTCCAGAGCCAGATAAATGTCACACCAGATTTTGCCAAAAAACCAGTAGCCCATAAGTTCATTTGCCAGAGAAAAGGGCATGACCAGTGTGGCCACCAGTATGTCTGCACTGGCGAGGGAGACGAGAAAAAGATTCTGGGGTGGTTTTAGAGCTCTGCTCGTTAAAACGGCGATTACAACGAGGACGTTCCCGACTATTGTAAACAAAATGAGAAAGCTGACAAGTCCGGCCAGACCCCAGATAGCAAGCTGGCTGTACTGACTCAGAGATGTGGAATTAGAGGAGATATTTTCTGCCTCTATTCCGTCCTCCAAGCTGGATCTATTTAAAAAATCCATTTTTACTTGTTTTTAGTCAAGGAACGACTTTTAAAAAAGTAAAATGTGCCTAAATAATCTGTAGTAATATCCCATTAGGACCTCAGCGCGTATCTACTGTAAATGTCATTTTTTCTTTCTTCTTCTCACCTGCGATCTTCCATCTCCATGCACGCAAGTCTCTCCTTTAGAAAAAAAGAGTGAGAGAGAGAACGCGATATGCAAAGTATGTTAAGTCCTTATTCCAAAAAGATGCAGGCTGCTCCGCAGCTGAATGTCCATAGTAAGAGAAGGCTCCCTCCTCAACGCGTCCTCTCCCATTCTGACTGTGCCTGCATCTCTCCACCTCCGCGTCCCCGCTGTGTCCTGAGAGAGGTTTGTAACAACCACGTGTCTTTTTTTCTTTTTTTTATATTAGAAAAAAACTAGAAGCGACCCGCTGCGCTGATAAAAGACAGTGGCGATGCGGAAGAGAAAACGGTTAAATAAGCCGACTACTTGATACAACTGTTGTTTTATATTTGATCATGTATTTAGGAGAAATTAATGATATTAGGGTAGGTTGCTACTGGAGGAGCATTTGCGTTGCGTGTGTCCTGTTTGTCTGCAGTGTAAGATTTGTTGCTGACAGTTGCAGATCGGACAGCAGCCCATCACTGACTCGCTCTCTTCTGATTTGACTTGAGGTCTGTTTCAGTATGAGTGCGCGCTCGCGTCCATTATAATGTACAAAGTCAGCAGGTGCTCTTAGGGGTGGTCACACCGCTGTCAATACGCACAGACTGACAGCTGCGGAGTGCCGCACCAAGCGCGCTCTGCTCTGTCCTTCCGTGCGCACACTGGAGGTCAGTGTTGCAACAGCCAGCCCCGGAGACACACACACACACACACACACACACACACACACACACACACACACACACACACACACACACACACAGTACTACACATCCATCCATGTGAATACAGTAGATATTCCAATATGTAGCCTATTGATTAACATGCACCCTGTATAATGAACATAAAAAAAGTTCTTGTGACCTTGCAGAGGAACGTTTTTATAATTTCTTGCGATTATTATTGTGTGTGTTTGGGTTATGGTAATTGTGTGGATAAATAGATTAGAGGATTACATGGTGCAGTTGTGAGTTTCTGTTCTCAGTTTTGAGGATAATAAAGGCATAGGCTGTATTATCTTCATGTAAAGCAGTGTGAATGCATACAGAATAGAGAGGGGCTTGATTAATGAGTTCATCCTCTGGGTGGTTTTTATCAGGCAATAAATAAAAGGGCTTGATTAAATATGACCATGATTTCCAGGTTATCTTGTACGTATTCATGTGGTTTCATTTCCAACAAGGATATATTCGCATGTCCACTAGAGATGAAATAGTAGAACATAACTTCACCTGATTAAATTACCAACATTAGTTTGTATCTCAGTATTCTTCAAATATAGTTCAACAGTGCTTTTATATACCTTGAAAGAATTTGACCACATTTGATATTGAAGTTCAATGGTCTATAATTCTACATGAAAACGAAGAAGTCTGAAGTCTTTGCAACCATGTTGCAACAAGGTGAAGTGTTTTCACAAGAGTAGGTTACATGCAAAGCTACTGGATGCTTGACAGTTTTGAACACAATGTTTTCTTATTCAAACTTGGTTTAATGGATGATATAATATCCAATATGATCATGCACATTTTACTATGGTAAATATTGAAACCGGTAAACTTCAACGTTTTTTGTCTTATTCTTTTTCTCCTCTGCACCCGTCATCGCCTTCTGATCTGGGTGGTGTTACTGCCTTGAGAAAGCTTTTCTCCTCTTTGGCGTATAGCCTGGTATTACGTTCTTGGCCCAGTGCGTTTATTGACCAGCCTCCTGGCTAAGTACCTGTCGTTAATCACAGAGCAGCTCAGCCATACTGAATTAAAGAGCATTCGCAGCCGCAAGAAATGCTCAACTCCAAATTGATCCTCATTAAGGCTATCAGAGGGGATGAGGAAGGCTCGTGGTCCACGGGGAACACAGTCAGGGCGGGGGACAGTCTCTAACTTGTCGCCCCCCCCCCCCCCCCCCCCCCCTACCATTCGTGAAACACCCTGCTACTTCTCATGCTGCCTGTTTAAATTGAACTAAGGCCAGAGTGATGCAGTAGGTCAGCATGGATGCACTCTAAGCTGATTTTCAACAGACAGACAAGCCTTATTAACGTCATTAAGTTGTGTCCCGGGGCCACAGCTCTGTCCATATAATTGGGGCACCAGTGAGCGATCTCAGCTATTACCGAGCCCTTTTCTTGTTTCCTACATTGTGCTCTGCAGGAAGGGATTAAGTTGGCTCGTCCTTATTCAGATAGCCAGAAGCCTGCTTTTGGATGTCAAGAAAGCTTTGTTAATCACTTTTATCTCTTTCTATCAAGGCGCTGTAATTTTTTGCTCTTTTAAAACTAGTGAAATGATAAATGATCGTCCTTTTTGTGTTGTTTCGTTTTTCTGGTTAAGCTCCTGCAGTGGCACAACGTGAGGTTCTTGTAAAGATGTGGTAATTGGTTTGCGCTACAGTGCAGCATATGTGGGAGAAGCAATCTGAGCCTAATACGATTCATCGAATAGAGCTCCAAGACCTTAATAATACCTGATGAGTTTTCACAAGGTAACATGACCAGCCTCTTGTGGCACTGTGAAAGCCAATACAGCGAGTACTCTGGTTATTACGCATTATCACACAATCAACTCCTCATAATAGCTAGAAGTCATACTGCCAAAGGCGTTTACCTCCAGATGATGAACTCTTATCATACACATTGTGGCCACAACACGATCACAGAATGCTAAGTCCGCCCCATGCTAACAAAGCAAAAATAAATCAAAGCTGTTACCAGTAAGCATAGACACTTCCAATTTTCCCTCCATCACTAATGTGCAGTGGTATCCGTATAAGTCCCACCCTTAAGGAGGTATTGCACCAGCTGTTGACAGTGACAAATGGCATTGCTATGCTGGCAGACAACTATAGAGCCAGGAACAAATAGTTCAGGGAGCAACACCTAGCCCAGGGGAGATTCTCTCTGCCGGCATCACCTCACCTCAGAGAGCCTTCTTATCGAGTGCCTTTCTGTGACAAATTACCTTGTAGGAAAAACAGTCAAACAAGATCAATGAAATTGTTGATTTGGACTCTTTTTGCACTGCTTTTAAAATGCAGGACATGTTCAGTTTTTTTGCAACCTAAATCACAATGGAACATAAAGTTGGGGCTGTCTATATTTCTTAGCTCGCCATATCTCAGCAATTGATCCTAACCGTTCTATCGTTGGAGTATAGGATTGTCAGAACTACAAGGGTTCAGAGCCATTAAAAAGCTAGGAGGAGCTATATTTTAGCCATATCTTGCTCTGCTGTCTTTCTCGACCCTATGCTGCCTCCAGAGCATTGCCAGCACATCCAGTGACCTTGGCATCATTGTCCCTGTGAAGCAGGCAGCTGGATGTCAAGCAGGATGCATTTTAAACAGAATAGATAAGATATTTCTTGGATTTGATCATTTAGCTTTGAAAAGAGAGGCGTGTGTTGCATTTCAACTATGCCAATAACCTCAATGTCAACAAAGAAAAGATCCTTAATGGATTTACAAACTGGCTTGCACAAAATAGTGCGATGGCTTTATTGTAAAGAGTACCAATCAGGTGAATGTTGACACTCTTTTGATCTTCCATCGTGAACATCTGTATTCTCTTTTATAAGAAAAACAATCAATAGAAAAATATGATTTGATATATTGTTGAGATTAAACCTTTATACAATAACCAATTCGTTTTTTTCCTTTAACAAGTTATATACAGTATATACTGTATATTCATTTATTTTTGTATTTAATCCGCCATTTTGGTTTTTGCTCCATAAAGACACATTAATATTACTTTAGTCCCAAGGGCTACGAACATTTTAAAGAACCTCCTTTCACAATATGCCATGGCAACAGTAATTCAAAATCTGCGGCCTTGACTTTTGCTACACTTCTTGCAATGAATGTGTCGCTAAAGTCATTTTCACCTGTAGATGTGGGTTGAGGGAGGGGGGTTGGAGCGAAGCGGCGGAGCTATCAGAACGACGAGGCGCAAGCTCGGGTCAGTCACACACATGCCCCTTTCACACCAACACGGTTCCAAGGCCGGTTCGGAGCTAGAGCCTGATAAGCACCGTTTTTTCCTGTTCACACCGCAGCGGATCCGGCTTTAAGCACCGCAAACCGGTGCTTACCAAGCACCAAAATGTTTTCGGTCTAGAAGCAAGAACCGCATACGTCACGCCCAGTGGCGTCGCCTGGCCTGGGCATCCGGGGCTTTAGCCCCGAATGTTTTTTCTGTAGCCCCGGACAATTCTCCCTCAATAATATAATACATTAACCGTGCTTTACGTGAACCTCATCATGACACAAGAGAGGACGGCAACACTGTAATTTCCCGTGTTCAGTGAATGCAACAGAGGCATGACACCAGACCAATCAGAGAGTTGCATGGAAATAAACGTGTGCTTGTGTCATTCAAGCTCGGCTCTGTGTGTGTGTGTGGCAATAGCGCATTTAGTGTGATAGAGAGAGAGAGAGAGGGGGAGGGAGGGACCGCTGCCAGCAGGGACCTGTTGTTAGCATCTGGTTAGCTGCACTAACGGACATTTGTTCCACAACAAGCTGGAGGAGAGTCCTCTCCTCTCAGACTGAGAGACTCAGGTGAGCTAAAGGACTCTCTGAGTGTTTAGATACTTAACTTTAGTCTAAGTTATCTCAGTGGGTCTCAAACTGTTTGGTCACAAATTATTCAAAAGATTATTTCCGCGGCACACCTTCATATGATCATTATAGTTATTAAAAAAAAGAGAATAAAGGAAAAACAGTTATGAAATACTATATGGCAGTAAAACAAGAATAGAGTTTAAAAGGGGAGTGATTAGTAAAATATCCATAAAGAAAAAGAACATCTGTTTACAGTTCTGCTTCATATGGGTGTTGAGAGAGGTATCCATAGATCTCTTCATTTTGCTCTCAAAGTGCACCAGA